GGAGGCAAGAGACAGACTGACTCCTGGTGAGACATTCCAGTTGACAAGACACATGTAGCTATGCTCAACCTTTGGAGCTGAAGGAGCCACGAGGAGATCCCTGCCAGTGCTGAGCTGCTTCTACCGCCACTGGATCCACAAGACTTTCCACCCACTGGCCTGTGATCGTACTGCATTCCGCATCATTGCATGGCTGCGTGAGTCTAAAGAGGAATTTATGGACTCATATTAGACATATGGGCTAAAATTGGACTTATGGACTTGATATGTACTGGGCTGGGATGTTTTCTCAATATTCAATTGCTCTTGTATATAAAGCTTCTTCTTATACACATGAGTGTCTATGAATTTGTTTCTCTAGTCTACCCAGACTAACACATTCAAAGAACACAGCAATCCATGACTTGAAGGAGTGGAAGGAAAGAACAAAACAGCTAACTACTACTTGTAAGAAGTGCTTTGAATGAAATAAAAGATGCAGCGATGAAGAATAGGATGGAGAATGAAAGGGAACTGCCAGGGAAGGTCTGCGTGAGGAAGTGACACAAGAAGACCTGAAGGACAAGGAATGACCGACTACGGCAATGCTGGAAATAATTCCAGGAGAGGAAACAACATGGGGAAAGGATGTGAGATTCGAATTCGACAAAAGGAAAGGTCACAGTGAGTCAAGGAGGAAGGGATGCCCTCTATGATAAAGAGGAGCATGAGGCACGGTAGAAACAGGTAGGAGTCTACCAGGACATTGCAAGGAGTTAGGATTTCATTCCAAGTCACATAAGAAGCCATGGAGGGGTCTTAAAGTAGGTGAGCCACGTGATCTCGGAGGGGTTTTAAAGTAGGCGAGCCAGGTGATCTTGCTTGCATTTTTTAAAAATCACCCTGGTGGAGGCGAAAAGACAACTGTGGGCTATAACAAAAGCGGAAACAGGGACACTAGTTAGAAGTTGCTTGTAGTTTGGACCAAGGTGGGTATGGTGAAAATGAGTGGATTCAAGAGATAACTTTGGGGGTACAATGGACGTGTAGATGGGATGTGTGGGATGCAAGGGTTGGAGCTTAAGCAACAGGGTGAGTGGAGGTGCCAATTTCTGAAGCAAACTGGGGGTCAGAGAATACCATTTATTTTTGACCCATTTTATTTGAGATGCCAGCAAGCTGTGTGCATACCAAGTAGGCAGCTGAATTCACTGGCTACGGAACTTTGTAAAAGAGGAAACAAGGCAGTTGGGGTAAGTGACACAAGAAGACAAAAGGGTTCAAAGAAGTATGCCTGTGTGTGTTAATCAGAGGGAGCATCCGAGGGGTGGTAACATGTTGATATTTGAGCCAAAAGAATAATGAGGAGGAAGAACATCCCAGATGAAGGAAAGTGGTGAACAAAGGGAGAAGAGGTATGTCCAGAAGCCAAAGTTGTTCACAGGGTACAGGATTTGGGTTGGGGAGATTGAAAGATGCACTGAGAGAGGCTGGCTGAAGCATGATCACAAAGGGCGTGGAGCCAAAGGCTTTGTATGACCCACGGGAACACCAACAAGGCTCAGGGCACAGGTGTGACCTGCTGAGGCTCTTAAGAGCAATCGAGCAATCAGGAGTAGGGTGGCTTGAAAGAGTGAGAATAAGCGCGGGAGGCTATTGATGGCCCGGTATTTCCGTTATTAACTCCTAAAGGTTGACAGTGCAAATGACAAGGGCAAGTGTGAAGGTTACTGGAAAGGAGATTTATATGTATATTTTTTCTGAATGTATTTTTTAAAATCATCTCCACCCTTGAGAAGTTCTGGTAAGGCTGGGGGACACTTTTCAATCTCCCCAGAATTCTGTGTAACACCCATTAAAGGGACCTGAGTCTGAGGTGATTCTCTAACACACAGCAGACACATCCGTAGGTTGAGTATTGGAATGAATGGGCTCACATGGGGTGCTACTGTTGCTGGAACCATCAGTATGGTATAGGGACTATGGCCTGAGGAATGCAGTGGTAACTCACACCAGGAACAAGTGTTATTTTTTCCTTTTCTTTTAAAAAAAATCATTTTATTGGGGGCTCATACGGCTCTTACCACAATCCAAACATCCATCCAATGTGTCAAGCACATTTGTACATATGTTGCCATCATCATTTTCAAAACATTTTCTTTCGACTTGAGCCCTTGGTATCAGCTCATTTTTCCCCTCCCTCCCTCCTGACCTTGATAATATATAAATTATTTTTTTCATGTCTTACACTGACAAATTTATCCCTCCACCTACTTTTCTGTTGTCTGTCCCCTTGGGAGGGGGTTATATGTAGATCATTGTGATCGGTTTTTCCCTCTCTCTGCCCTCACCTTCCCCATGCCCTCCTGGTATCACTACTATCATTATTTGTCTTGAGGGGTTTATCTGTCCTGGATTCCCTGTTTCCAGCTCTTATCTGTACCCGTGTACATACTGTGGTCTAGCCAGTTTTGTAAGATAGTGCAGGAGTGGGGGGGGGGTAAGCATTAAAGAACTAGAGGAAAGCTGTATGTTTCAACAGTGTTACACTGCACCCTGACTGGCTTGTCTCCTCCCCACGACCCTTCTGTGAAGGGATGTCTAGTTACCTACAGATGGGTTTTGGCTCTCCACTCCACACTCCCCCTCATTCACAATGATATGATTTTTTGTTCTGGGTCTTTGATGTCTGATACCCGATCCCAACAACCTCATGATCATACAGACTACTGTGCTTCTTCCATGTGGGCTTTGTTGCTTCTCAGCTAGATGGCTGCTTGTTTACCTTTAAGAACCCAAACACTGTATCTTTTGATAGCCAGGCACCATCAGCTTTCTTCACATTTGTTTATGCACCCATTTTGTCTTCAGCCATCGTGTTTGGAAGATGAGCAGCATAGAATGCAGGGCTATTAAAACAAAGTGTTCTTGCATTGAGGGAGTATTTGAGTAGAGGCCCCATACTTAACCTTAATACTTAACATTTATATGTACATAGATCTATTCCCCTATTGCTATATATATATTTACATATGTACATGCCTGTATTTAGACCTCTATAAATTCCCTTTGCTTCCTAGTTCTTTCCTCTGTCCCACTATCTTGTTTGACCTTCATGTGGGTTTCAGTATTTCCTCTCAGCTACATTGCCCTTGACTAAGCCCTACCAGGCGTCCTATGCCCTCCTTGGCATTTTTTTTCTTTATAAGCCTAATTGCGTGCCCTCCTTCATACTGTGCCCTCTTGTCTAACCCCAAACAGCTTGAGCCTTTGCTACTCCGAATTCTCATCTTACTAGATTACACCATATGACCATTATCTGTACAAGGTCCTACCTCTCTGAGGTCCCATCTGATGAACATGTGATATAGTTAGTTGAGTGTGCCAACCTGGCCAATAAACACATGTGGGGTTAACTGAAGGATGGAGAGATAAGTGGCTTGGTGAGAACTTGCTTTTCAAGTTCTTGGGTCTCTTGCTTTGTGATGGTTGGACCAGGGTGCAGTTACCTTAGCCAGTTCCCTGCTTCAGCTGGCAAGGCTCACTTCCTGCAAGACATCCCCAAGGAAAAGCCACATGGACCTACCCGGATGCAGCCCTGGGTGCTGGAGCAGCCGTGTGGAGACCCCTGCCAGGGCTGAGATGCTTACACATTCACTGATCCGGCTTTCCTCCTGCAGTCAGCAACATAGTGTGTGCTTTGTGAGATGGAGGACTTCATGGGTTTGTGTTGGACATATGGGCTAATGTTGGACTTGTGGGTTTGGGCAACACTGTGTTGGGATGTTTTCTTGCTGTGCATTTACCCTTTATTTAAAACCCTCTCTTATACATGAGTTTCTGTGGACTTGTTTTTCTAAAGTACCAGACTAATACAACAAGCATCACTGAGAGGAGGCTGCCATATCAGAATTTAGTTGTCTCATATGGACATTAGTCATGTAATAGGCTGGAGTTGGGCGGGGGGGCTTCAGAGTAAGGAGGCAGGGATACCTTTAACGACTCACTTCTTATGATGACACCTGCTATGGCACCACCACCACTCACCCTCCCGTTCCTTGTCTTCTCAACGGTAGTCGTTATGCTAGGCCTCCTTTCAAAGGGGCAGAAAAGAAGCTGGGGAATGGATTTTGAAGTAACTCTGCTGAGGAAAGACAGAATGGCTATCCAAGATTCATCTGGCTGTCGAATCTTTTTGCCAATGCTTGATCTCGCTTCCCTCTTAGCATTTTCTCCTGGTGGTTTATTTTTATATGTCAAATCACTCAACGTTCTTTGAAGAGTACCTTGAACTCTTTTGAGTTTTATGTGCTGTAGAAATACAATAAAGCAATGAATAAATAAAATGTCTACTTTTATGATAGTAAGTTTTACTGTTCCTGGTTCTCTGAGATTTACTCTTCACTCAACCCTAATCTGAAGACTAGGTAGGTATATTCTGAAGATCAGATAAAAGATCCTGGTTCTAAAATACCTTCTCTACTACCTGAGAGTCCACGACTTAGTGACACATTATTTTATTAGTGGAAGCCCGAAAGGTTTGGTTTCCAAAAATTCCTTATTAAAATGCAAACCCCACAGGGTACAGGGAGGAGTGACTGGGTAGGTAGATTATGATTTAACCTTCGTTCCTTTATATTCCTACTAAGAGAAGGCCTGGTGGCACAGTGGTTACTCATTGGGTTTCCAACTACAAGTTTGGCAGTTTCGACACCATCACTCTTTGGGAGAAAAACGGGGCCTTGTTACTCCCATCAATAGTTACAGTTTCAGAAACTCACAGGGCCAGTGCTGCTACCCTGTCCTATGGGGTCATTAAGAGTCAGCATGGACTCAATGGCACTGAGTGATTCCTAGCACGTACGTTGTTTCCCCAAATACACTGGAGGGTTTTTTGTGTCTTTGTTTATGCTTTCTTTCAGAGGTAATGTTAAATATAATGCAAATTAAAAATAAGAACACTAACATTACCTTATGTTTTCACATAATCTCTGCTGAGTATCGAAATGCAAGCCTTCTAATTTATTTTTGAAACACTTTATTTTTTTCTAATCCAAGAAGAATAACATGCTTTAATATAGAAAATTTGAAAAAAGGCAGGAAGACAGGGAGAAGAAAAAACATTCATCATTAATCTATCACCTAAAGAGCAACCGTTGGTACCAGTCGGGTCACGTTCATTCTTTAAATCTTAGTTTCGGTCCCATTTTCTGCTGTGATTGAGACCTTCCTTGAGCTTCCTTCCCCAGATCTTCTTGTCATTTTGGGGTCACTCCCTTTGGGCCACACATTAGCCTGGTGGACATCTTGTGCTTCCAACTAGAGTATGAGATTCTTCACGTCTGGAGCCAAAGGTCATCCTTCTTAGTTACCCCTCAAATACCTGCTACGGAGGCCCCACTAGCTGATGACAGATTCAACTTAAATGAATGCAAACCAACTGAGAAAGGATATGAACTCAGACATGTGTGAAATCGGTCCTATAAAACGTTAAAGCTTTCAGCTCCCCTAAGCTCGGTGACTTTTGCTTTTCTGTTCCTGGACTCTAGAAAGCCTTCTTAACTGGCCTCTCCCTACACCCAATCTGAGTTAGCTGCAGATTGAATCAGAGCCCGGATTTACCCCGAGATTCCCTTTAAGGCATAAAGGTGAGAGAGACGGAGAGGCAGGGAGAGAGAAAGAGAGAGAGAGAAAGGAAGAGGAAGAGGAGGAGGAGGAGGAGGGAAGGAGGGAGGGAAAGTACTGGGTTAGGGAGGAAGGAGAAGAGAGGAGACCAGAGTGTGCTGTTCAATCCAGAATGTGATTTGCCTCCAGCACTGTGTAGAGGATCCCATCCACTTGTTCTGAGTCAAACCCGATCTCGCGAAGCTCCAAGTGAGGGAGGACAGAAGTAAGGAGATAGCTGACGTGGATACGCAGCCTCGTAAGTTTTGCCAAAGCCCTGTATGTTGGAGTGAGGGGACAGGAGGAGAGATGACATTGAAGTCGTTAAACAATGGGAAAAAATCAAAGCTTGTTAAAAATCGGCCTACTTTTCTCAATAATTGATTCCATTAGCTAGAAAGACAGACAAAAGCACAATGCCACCAAGAAACAGGGAAAGTGGTTGCAGCTAAGAACAGAATAACTCAATCTTTGGTGGCCTGTGAATTAAATCTTCTTCCCTTATCTAAGACTGGGAGTCCTAAGGGATGCTTCCCATGACCACTTGCAAGCTGATAACTAAACCCTAAAAATTAACCTTTCTAGGTCCTCTCCCTCTGGGGTCCGGTCGGTGACTTGAGCCTTCTGCAGCATCTCCAGGCGGCTCTCTGCCTCCTTTAGTTTCTCCATTAGCTCTCGTTTTTCCTCTTTGGTTCTTTCCAGCTCAGCTTTTAGAAGCTGGATTTCAGCTTGGCGATAACCCATGTGCTTCTTGCTCCAATATAAGCCTTCTGTCTCCTGGGTACTGTAGGCCAACAAATCATGTTGGACCTTCTTGAATTCCGAATGCCAGTGGTCCCTCTCCTGTTCCAGCTCCTGCACCTGCAGCCCAAGAAACAGACAAACGGTGACTCCACAGATACTACTAACTGTTAAGAAGGAGGGGGTCAAAATGGTCCCTAATATAGCTGCCTTGTGATTTCACTCGACAGAATTCTACTTCTGGACCCTTTCAATCCCAAATACGGAGGAGTCCTGGCGGTATAGTGGTTAAGCACTAGGCTGCGATCTGCAGTTCAAAACCACCAGCAGCAACGAGTGAGATAAATTAGGCTTTCTACTCTGGTTAAGCAGTTAAGTCTCAGAAACCCACAAGGAGTCTCTAGGAGTCAGCATTGCCTCGATGGCAGTGAGAATGCGTTTCAATTACAAATAGAGGAGGGCAGCGCATTAAGGCTCACTCACCACAGAGCTTTTCTGTTTAAAAGCCTGAGAGCAGAAAATTATCATAGCCTCAATCTCCAGGCACCATTGCTTACAAAGGTTTAGTCCTAGGGGGAAATAGGAGTTGATCTAACCTATAGGTTCCCAAACTTGTTTATCCCACTGCACTCTTTTCATAAAAAAAGGAGAGAGGCCCGACTCACCAATGGAAAACTAGGAGAAGGTGTAGGTCTCTGCTTTGACAGTCTGCCCCCCACCCCATCATTCCAGGGTCCCCCAAGGGCCGGTGTTGTCCATTTTGGGAAACCCCGGTCTAACCTTTTGCTGGAACACATTTCTTTCAGTCAAAAGTTTTTCTGTGGTTCTCTTCAATTCTTCCAGCTCTCTCTGGTTCTTATGTTTGGGTGTATGACGACCTCCACTCTCCTCAGAGCTGGTTCTTTTCTCCCCAGTAGCTGCGGCAGCGGCCACAGAAGAATAAGACAGGGGACTCCAGGGCTCAACTGCTTTTCTTCTCTCAGCAAGCTCCTCTCTGTTGAATGGAATCAGCTGAATGGGACCTCCTGCATCTCTAATATCTTTGGCAACACCGACAACAGCTACAAAAGGCCCCTTGTTCACTTCTTCTTTGTTTAAGGTGGTGCTACCACTGTTGGATTCTTCGGCTACCAATCTTGGCATCTGATCTAATTCAGGGAGCAGGGCCTCTGCGCATTGCCCTTGGGCCTCTGCATAGAGAGCAGAAATCTCCCTACTCTGACTGGTATGCTTGCTTGCTTCGGGGTATTCTGGGAAAAGACGTGGTGGTGTGCTTCTCTCCACCCTGGCATTATCTTGACTGTTTTCCCCTTCTGGGTAGGCAGCCACTGCTGCCTCTCTCCGCTGGTGACGTTTAGGCATGGAATAATCTAGAGGAGGCGGTGCCATCTCATTGTGGAGCCTTCTTCGCTTCTCAACAGGTTCCTCCCCTAGGGTCCAACTGTACTGGCTGCAAGAAGAAAAAAGTCATTCAATTTTAAACGGTTACAATATAGGCCAAGTCTAGTCCTTTTCCTCACGGGGCCTGCAGTAGGTGTCGCCCATTAAGCCCATGGCTGGCTTTTCTTCCCAGATCATTTCAATTTGCAAATATGTTACCCGGCAACCTCCACCCCTTTACGCCCGCAGCTAGCTGCAACAGCCCTTGCTATGAAGGGAGCAATGAAGTTGAAAAGGCACACGGTGCCAACCGCTGGATATTACAGGCCCGGATTGACCTTGCTAAGAAGTCTGAAACGAGGACTGAAACCAGCTCGACTTTCAAGTTTCCTAAATACAAGGGGAGAAAACGAACTCACTCTCTCTCTCACACACGTGCTAACACACAGAATGTGCTAACACACAGGGATTACGGTCATAATGGGCGTAGCAGAGTAGGTGGCGAACAGCACCAGCTCGTGAATTTTCGAGTGCCGCAAAATCCTTCCAGTATCAAAGACTTCCGCACATTTTTTATATGCCAGCATCAGCCAACTGAATTGGGGCTATTGTCTGATTATTCACTTGGAAAAGTTCATTGAAACCAGGGCTCTAGTCAGAAACCGAGAAAAGGAATTGGGACGGTTCAAGTCATTGCCCCTTTATGAAAAAGAACTCTCCTTTCCGCCAGCTATTCACAGGCACTCCTCAGTCCTAAGGACACTCCATGCCGGAAATCCCAGGATGGTGGCCTCAAATCACTTTCCATCTCTGAGCGCGTTGCAGTCATGGCTGCAGGGACTGACACCCACGGAGCCCTTGCGGCCTATTGCGTTAGGTGTTGGTCAGCAGTTTGAAACCACCAGCTGTGCCCACAGGAGAAAGAGGGGACTTCTACTTGTGATGATTTATAGCCTCGCTCAGAAACCCACAGAGACAGTTCTACCCTGTCCTACATGGCTGCTATGAGTCGGAATCAGTTGGGTTTGGAGTTCGGGGATTTTTAGAGGATATCAATAGGCATTTGGTTCTCATGCAGCAGGACAGGAACCACTTTTTTTTTAACCCTTTTAACTACCATGCTTTCTCACAGATAACCAAGGGATTCCAAAGCAAAAATCAGCTTTCAAATTTTCCCTGAGATAGAATCAGGCACGTTATTGACCCGCCTAGTAGTACCACAAGGCTACCCATTTCTCTGCAAGGTTTGAAAACATCTGGAAGCCATCTCAACCCTTAGATTTTAAATAAAGTCCCATATGTTCTTTAATACTACTGCTCACCCAGAAACATAACTGCTCTGCCATCCTGATAGCTCTTGCTTTATCAACCTTATGGGAAAAGCAAGAGGAATCAAGGCCGATGCGAGAAACAAATGTACTGTCCATCTTGAAACCTGTACGAGACACTGCAGGAGCCCCTGTGGAGCAGTGAGTCACTCAGTGAGTTGCTAACAAGGTCAGCAGTTCAGAACCACCAGCCTCCTCACAAGATGAGGCTTTCTCCATGCCCGTACAGAATTACAATTTCAGAAACTCACAGGGGCAGGTCTACCCTGCCCCGCAGGGCCACGATGAGTCAGAATTGACTTGATGGAAGCGAGTTTGGTTGGAGTTTTAGCAAGAGGCACCAGGGACTGGTCCATCGGACCGTGATACTCGTCTGTCTGAGGTAAGACTGAAAGGATCTCTGATAACAGGTAAGAACAAAGTGGCATGAGAGGCAATTAAAGCTATATTTCTGCCCTCTCTTCATTTCCTTACCTGCGATCAACTTTACATTTTACGACTGACCAAAAAGTTGACAGTTGGTACCGATTCAGGGGCACTTTGGCAAAAAGGCCTGGCACTCAGTTTTCACAAAGATTAAAGCCCAGGTGAAGTTCGGTTCTTCTCTGTAACATGTGAGGTCTCCCTGACAGCAAGGAGTACGCTTCTGTCATTAGCTAGTTGGCAGTCTTCTTTCTCTGTTTCCCCTTGCTTGGTAATTTTATAAAACCCCTTAGCTACAACCTCTGAGCAGAACTTCTGGAGTCATTTCCCCAGGCCTGGCCTCCGGGACTACCATTGCAACCCGCAGTCACATACGCATTTCTTTTTGGAGGTCCCACAGGCACCTGAAAACTCAGGAAGCACAAAATCGACTTTCTATTCTTTCCCTTAAAACCTGCTCCCTCTCTCTTGAGTGTCCTGTTGGTGGCAAACCAACAACAACTTCTGAGTATACAGCTCGCTGACCGACAATACCCATGTTCCAGCATCTCATTACGTCTCTCAGAGTGTTGCAAGGCCTTCTTCTGCTCTCCTTGTCTCTCACTTCCACATCATCCAGTGCCAAGCAAAGGCACTGCTCTGATTATGCTACGTGTCTCTGGGAGCTCTGTATTGATGGCTCCCTACAACAGCAAGGGCCAGATGTCTTAGTCTTGCACGCAAGGTTTTCCCTGAGAAGAACATAACGAAACATTTATGGGGCGCTTACTGTGTTGTCCGTGTGAGGAGTGCTTATAGTGCACATTGTCTCACTTAATTGTCCAGTACATCCAAGGTAGGTGGTAATATTATCCCCATTTTAAAAGAAGATGCTGAGGCTTAGGGAGGTTAAGTAGTTTTCCCAAGGCTATGTCGCTAATATGTGGCAGAGTTGAGCCCTAATTTGGCCCCAGCTTTATCTCCTACAGAAGGCCTGGTGATTCAGTGGTTAAGTACTTCCCTAACAACCCAAGCTCGGCCATCTGAACACATCTGAGGCACTCTGCAGGCAAATGATGTGGCACCGTTGTCCATTCAGACTCCCAATGACCCTAGAGGACAGGGGAGAATTATCCCTTTAGCTTTCTGAGGCAATAAATCTTTATGGGAACAGAAAGTCTCATCGTTCGACCAAGGAGTGGTTGGTGGGTTCCAACTGTAGACCTTTATGATTCACAGGCCTACGTGTAACCCAGCATGCCAAACAGTCATCTTGAAAGCCTGTCTCACTCCCTGCGCAGAGCCTATGTCCGTGCAGAAGACATGGAAGCAACAGCCCAGCTCTTTGGCAATTAAACCTCTGCTACAGCAGAGGAGCTTCAACAATTCATGGAAAAATGGAATGAAATAGAATGGGCTTTCCCCAGGAGCTTTTTGAAGCTCCCTCGTGGGAGTGAGCACTACTAGTGGTGGCCCCTAGTCATCTTGGCTTGCCTCTCCAGATGTCAGATTTCTTTGCCCTACACTAAGCAAGCTGGGGTGGGAGCGATAGGGGCCTAGTATTCTCAGCTTGCTTTACCTGGAGTAGCGCTCCCAACCCTATGAGTGGGGGTGGTCGCTATGTGGGGGTAGGTGTGGGTGGGTAAGGGAACCAGGTAGGAAAAGAAAGACCTCGTCTTCTCAGGCCTGCCGGGAATAGAGCT